AGTATGAACAACCTAGATCATGGGTCCCATTCTAAAATATTAAGGTAAAGAATGTATCTATACAGGCTGAGAATAAGCAAATGAAAGGGAATGGATCTTTGAAGGAATTTCAAACTTCCAAAAAATGGAATTAAAAAGAAAAAGTACAGGTTATTAGAGAAAACATGCTGGTATTTGTGGTGTCTAGCATTTAACCACCTCCCGTTCTGTCGTTGTATATAAACGGCCAGACGGTGGCAGTGCAGGGTAGGGTGGCCATTTATAAACGGCTTGTGCACGCTCCCTGGGAGCGCGCAGCACCACGATCTGGTGCCCGCTGTGTCCTCCGGACACAGTGGAACACCGATCGTCAGACGGGACCTCGTGCAGGTCCAATCAGTGATCACATGCAGAGTAGTAAGCAAGATGTCACTTGTGACATCATTGCTTACTACGTCTGAAATCTGTGAATGATCCCAGAGGTCACATGGTACAAGGCTATTCACAACAGCCTTGTACCATGTGACAAGCTGTGACCAATCACAGCTCACTCAGTAGTTCTCAGTGGCTGCAAGAATGCAGCTAGACAGAAGGAGAAATTATTGCTTTTACATCCTTTATGGATGTAAAAGCAATCAGTGTTAAAAAAAAAAATCTTCATCACCCCCCACAAGTTGTACAGTGTCACCATGAACGGTAATGTCTGATGAACACAAACATACCTAAAATACTTGGGACAAAAGGTACTGGTATCAAATATCCAGTGATGCACTATATTCAGCATATGGATTAAATTATACTAAACGCATAGTTGCCAACATTTCAAAAAAAGTTTTAGTGACAGTGATTCCCGTTCACCTGTTGATGTGGGAGAGGTGTTACCTCTCCCACACTAGGTGTGGGAGAGGAGTTACCTTTTTGCTAACTTACTGCTGAAACAGCTGCATTTTTTTCTTTTGACGCACTTTAGAATAATTTTAGTTATGTTTTTTTTTTTAATAAATACAGATATAATGCTCCTTAACCACTTGAGCTCCTGAGGAATTACCCCCCTTAATGACCAGGCCTCTTTTTGCTACTCGGTGCTGCACTAATTCAACTGATAATTGCGCGGTCATGCAATGCTGCACCCAAACGAAATTTACGTCCTTCTTTTCACACAAATAGAGCTTTCTTTTGGTGGTATTTGATCACCTGTGCGGTTTTTATTTTTCACGCTATAAACAAAAAAAGACCCAAAATTTTGAAGAAAAACAATATTTTTTACTTTCAGCTAGTAAACTCAAAGTTAGTTATAAATTTAGGCCAAAATGTATTCTGCTGCATGTTTTTGGTAAAAAAAATCCCAATAAGTGTATATTGATTGCTTTATGTGAAAGTTATAGCATCTACAAACTATGGTATAGATACTGCAATTTACGCCATTTTTTTGCTATACAGCGCTGTGCTAGTTTAACGGACAATTGCGCAGTCATGCAATACATTACATAAATGAAATTTACATCCTTTTTTTTCCACAAATTGAGCTTTCTTTCGGTGGTATTTGATCGCCTGTGCGTTTTTTATTTTTTGCGCTATAAAAAAAAAACGCTGACAATTTTGAGGAAAAAAAACAATATTTTGGACTTTTTGCTATAAAACATGTCCAGTAAAAAAAAATTAAAAAATCAAATTCAGTCATAAATTTCTGCCAAAATGCATTCTGCGACATGTCTTTGCTACAAAAAAACCCAATACGTGTAAATTAATTGGTTTACGTGAAAGTTATAGCGTTTACAAATGGCAGGAAAGATACTGGTATTTTTAATTTTTTTTTATACTAATAATGGCGGCGATCAGCGACTTATGGCGGCTATCAGTGACTTATGGCGGCAATCAGCGACGTATGGCGGCGATCAGTGACTTATGGCGGCGATCAGCGACTTATGACAGGACTGTGGCAGACATTCTGACATGGGGGGAACTGACTTGGGGTCACTGACATCCCCAGTGACACCAATGCAGTGATCAGTGTAAAAAAAAACCCACTGACACTGTACTAATGGCACTGGGGAGGAAGGGGTTAACTTTATTATTCAGTGAAAGGGTTAACTGTGTGAGGGGAGTGTTTTACTAGGGGGCTGGGGTGTGTACTGCAGGGAACATCACTGATCGGGACAGATAAACTCTTCTGTCCCGATCAGCGTGTCAGGAGCTGTAAGGGAACTGACAGAAAGCACAGCTACTGCAGCTGTGCTCTCTGTCACTGATTGCCCCTAATCGCCGGGACATAGCCGGTAACGACCGGCTGTGACCCGGCGACTGACATCCGCGGCCATGATCGGCGGGACAGGTAGGGCGGCGGCGAGCCTCGCGTGCGCCCCTTACCTGGGTTTTGCCCAGCCGTGCCGCCCTTCCGCCATATTTCTACAGTGGCTGGGCGGCATGTGGGTTAAAGCAGAGTTCCACCCAAAAGTGGAAGCTCCACTTGCTTGGCTCCTCCCCCTCCACTGCTATATTTGGCACCTTTTGGGGGGGAGGGGGGAGTGGGTACCTGGTTTTGACAGGTACCCGCTCCCACTTCCAGCTCAGTTCAGTCCCCTCCTTCCTCCTGCAGTCTCCTGGGAACCTTCACAGGTCCCAGAAGACTCCCGGACCAATTAGGAGGCACAGCGCGACGCACACATGCACAGTGGGCACCAGGCTGTGAAGCCGCAAGCTGTCACACCCTGGTGCCCACAGTTGAGATGTCGGCGCCGTGGAGGAGAGAGAGAAGGGACGACATGGGTGAATACATCACTGGACCCTGGGACAGGTAAGTGTGTGTTTATTAAAAGTCAGCAACTACAGTTTTTGTAGCTGCTGACTTTTAATAAACACAAAAACGTCTGGAACTCCACTGTAACAACTACAAGTGAAATGTGTACGATAAAAAGGTCTTAGTTGGAACAGCATTAAATCTGTACCTTTTTTATTTTTTGATTGTTTTTACTACTCTTCTTTTTTCTTCTCTCTTTATTTCCTAATCTTTAATTACTTTAAGTAACGTTACCAGTCCATTAGCATACAATTTTCTTCTACGACTCTACAAGTAAATGTATAAGAAATTTTGTTTGAATTTCACAGATGTACTGTGAATTATAAGGTTCTGGTATTCTGGCATGAGTCTGGTGGGGACCCATAGGTTTGTTGCTTACTGCGACAAATGAGTATCATATTCAACAACCGTTGAAACCAGGGTATCCTTGGACATCCAGGTCTTATGTCGTATTGTAATTTTACATCCCTCAGTCTGCCTACAGCTTCAACCTGATCCCCGTGAGCAGGTGGGGTGAACCCACGTACTGAGGCTTGGCAATAGCATGCAGCATCGACCATCCCTATCTTCAGGGGCTGTGGTAAATACCAGCTGTTTGCTCAGACTCTGGATCCTGTGGAAATCCCACTTTACCTGCCCACATTAGGACCCCTATGTTTTCTAACCTTTAAATGGCCAAACAGTTGCTTCAGTCTTGAATTCCTCCAGTTACCTTACACTGACATTCTCCTTCTGTTTTGTATCCATGTATGATTGTCCAGAGGCCTGCCCTACCACCATCTGAAGAAGCAACAACCACCATACCAACTTGGGAGGCAAAGGTGCAATGATTAGACCTTCCTTAACTATCTTTCACCATGTTGAACAGTGCCATATGCCTGATCCAATCTTTGCAAACTCAACACAGCATTCCTAAGCTATGGGACTAAAGATGCCAGGATCCCACCATCAATGTTGGAGTTCCATCCTCCCAAGGCAGTGGGGCGAGAAAACATTGCAGCTCAGGCACTCATGGTCTGGATGTGGGGTCCCTTGAGGCATAATGGCTTCTTTAATTGCTCTGTCTCAAGTCTATCTTGATGTGTTCATCAGATAGATAAGTTCCATCATGGTCAAGAAAGAAGAGGAGACTGCAATGGAGGTGGTGGGGGTCTTCTGGGCTGCCTTGTGTGAGTACAAAATCATTAAGGGAGGGCAAACATTCAAGAATGAGCTACAGGGGGAAATTATGTGGAAATGTGAGACCTACAGTTATTTATACTTCCAAGGACATCATAAACCATAAGACATCCTTATTTATGAACTTTTGTATTCTCAAAAAGCACTAGTTGGTCCAAGGCCGTCTTTAACGTGAGGCAAACGGGGCAGCTGCCATGGGCCCAGTCAGTATTGTGGGGCCCAAAGCAGCTGTACCTTAAACCTGCTCTTTTCCATGGTTTGCTGGCACTGGACACAGATGGGGAGTCAGCCACATTTACCTGCTCTAGTCCTGGCTGCAGCCCTGTTAGTACGGAGTAATCTGTCCTCTTCCACACAACTTCAATTCCACTGGGGGGAGCTGCCACTGTACGTGCAGAGAGTCTGGGGCTATCTGCCTCTGTGCCCCCCCTCCCTCCGAGGCCCTACTGTGGCAGTGTCCGACTGATCCCATCACCACACAGCAAGTGCCCCATGTCGTCCTGTGCCCACAGTGACAGACCTGACTGGCACCTTGTGGAGGAGGAGGAGGGGAGAGCCAGACCAGAGTCAACTGGTGGGTAGGCACCTTAATCCCTACACTGCTGGGGGTAGCACAGTGTTCTTGCACTCTGCACTGATTTACTATCCCAGGGGCTTTTCATTCTAATGTCAGCCTACAATAGGAGGGGCCCTGGACTAGAGGTATCTGTATTTCTATGGAGGGGCCCCTGGACTGGAGATAGTAGTCTCTCTATGGAGGGGCCCCCGGCCCCTGAACTGGAGGTGGCAGTCTGTCTATGGAGGGGCCCCTGGACTGGAGGTAGCAGCCTCTCTATGTAGGGCATCCATAAAGATATTGCTACCTACAGTCCAGGGGTACCTTCATTAAGAGATTTCAACCTCCAGTCCAGGGGCCCCTCCATAGGGAGACTGCCAGGTTCAGTCAGGGGGCCCCTCCACAGAAAGATTGCCAGGTTAACCACTAGCAACCAGTCAGTGGGTGGTAAGGATATTCAGTAATTTCTAGCAACCAATCAGTGAGTGGCAGGGGCGGACTGACCATTTGGAAACTTGGGCACTGCCCGAGGGCCCGGGGTCAGTAAGGGGTCCCATGAGATGCCCCTGGTACCTTTTTCATAGGCTTTTTTGAGTTTGGGCAAGGACACAGGGGCCCCATGATCCCCTATTGCCCGGGGGCCCCATGAGTTGTCAGTCCGCCCCTGGTGAGTGGTAAGGGTGTGCAGTAACCTTTAGCAACCAATGAGCAGTAATGATATAAAGTAGCCTCTAGCAATCAGTGTGTGGTAATGATATTCTGTAACCTCTGGTAACCAATTGCAATCGCTGCCTGATCTGCAGTAAACTGATTTTGAGTCTAGCTACTATTTATGGTATGTCTCAAAGCAGGGGGAGAGCGAAATTGAAAATGGGGAGGTCGGGGCCCCAAAAAATGTGGGTCCGGGGTCCAATCAATATTAAAGATGGCCCTGAGTTGGTCAATACTGCAATTCTTTGAATAGGCTATTTACCATCTTTTTGGTCACCATAAAACTTCCCTTGAAGGGTTTTTGAAGAGGTTTATGTTAGTATAGCCACCTGGTTGATGTAAAGAAGTAGGCCCTTAACTCTGTCATTTCTAACATCCCTATGAAGCAGTGTAATAGATCTTCTTGAGGGAGTTGACTTCAAAGAATGTAAGCACAGCTGGGACTCTCTCTCTTTTATAACATCTGGTGACCTAAACTTAAGATATGTGAAATGGAATATCTCTACCTGGGTGGGTATAGAGCTTGCCTAAAAAGCAAGACATGGATCCCCTCATTCTCTTGACCCCTGAGCACAATGGGAACATAAAGTTGTCTGTGTAACGTACCTCCATTCTTTCTTAATCTGTGACTTCCTCTTTCTGTAATTGTATCTATTCATTGGCAACACTTTGTATTCTATTTGTAACATCATTGCTTTTAAAATTGTTACCAGCTACTTTATATTTTGTTATATTGGATTAATATCAAGCTTCTTTTCTGTGTACATAAATTGGATTTTTATTTTTTTAGCTGCTTAGTTGTTATTTGTTAATAACTTTAATGGTAATAGGCACATCAGGATTGGCTAGACTCTTATATTGATATAGACAAAAGGTTGTAATCACTTATTATATTTTATCAGCAAGCGAATAAGTGAGGTGGCATAATCGCCAAATTAGCTCCTCTCATACTGCAAGGCCTCCAGGTTCACCACTACCTGGATGATTCTTCTGCTAGCCAGGGATTGAAATCAATCATTAGAGCACCGAGAAATCCTCATTCACACTCTGCAAAGATATGGCTGGATCATCAATTTCAAAAAGAGCCATCTCATGCTAACTCAACAGTTAACTGGAGGAGCTCTTCGACTCCGCTAAGGCCTCTGTTTCACTTCCACCAGACAAAGCGATAGTAGTAAGGAAAATAATTCGGAATGCAGCAATCTCTGTTCATTTGACAGCTTCCCAGTGCCTCAGTCTTTTAGGCATGATGTCTTCATGTGTCCTTCAAGATATCCTGTGGGCATTGGTACCTGTGCCAGTTCCAACTGGCATTCCTAGGGCAATAGAGGAAACAGATCCTAGCTCAGTTGATAACCGTGTCACTCAGTTTTCCCATGCAATAAGTACTTGATATGCACATGCAGTAAAAAAAGAAAAAGGAGAGTGAATAGTTTCACCTCCTCTACTACCAAGAAGTCTTATCACATTGGCAGCTTTATATCTTGTGTCACGGTATAGGGGCCTGCCAATTATTAATCCCCTTATTAATGCCATTAATGCCCTGTATCACATGCCCCCAGCATCCTGCTCTGTATCGTTCCAATTGTCCCCTGTGTCCCTCAGCCAAATGGCCTAACTCAATGGCCTAATTCAATTACTCTGGGCCCCCCTCCCTCCTGGCCAGCTGCCCTGCCAGCTCGCTGCACACCTCCCAAATTGCCTTTCATCTAGGCCGACATCATCCCTGCCCCCAGGATGTCCCTGTCACCAGCCTGATTCATCCCTGGGGTCTATTATTCACTCCTCCCCCTCTCATCCTGTGGCCACAGGATGAGAGGTGAGACTTCCACCACCCCGTCCTGTCTCTTCCTCTCTGGCAGCCAGGAGGTGGTGAGATTCACACCTCTCCAGGAGAAGTGCAAACCTCCCACAGGGATGGCCTGGGCTCCAGAGTCTAGCTGATGCCAGCGCTGGCCCGACCCCGGTTGCCCGTCCCGCACGAGCTTAAGAGGCTGGTCCCAGCGCTCCGGGCGCAATCCATTGTGCAGTCATCAAAGGATCCCCAGCTACGGTGGGACCTTTGTGATCAGACTCTGCCAGCCCACCCCCAGCCTCACAGAGACCCCACAGGAGGGGAGAGACAGCCAGAGCCAGCCTGCCTGCCATTGCCAGAGACCCCACAGAAGGGGAGAGACTATCACAGCCCACCTGCCATTGCTAGAGACCCCACAGAAGGGGGAGAGGCATCGAACTCTAAAGGAAGATCATCTGACAGGCTTTTCGTGATTTCCACTGGAAAACACAGGATAAATTAAGCTATTGCAAAGACTCTAGCAGGATAGATTGTTAGATTTGTCAGAGAGCATATAGAGCGAGGGGGTTGGGAGCTTCCCACAGCAGTGACTGCACACTCTACCAGAGTGATGGCGACCTCATGGGTGGCCCATTTGAGGGTGAATAGAAACCATATGTAGAGCAGTGTCATGGTCATCCCGGCACCTTTGTAAGGCATTACAGGATAGATCTGGGTTCCTTATCCTTATATGCTTTGGTGTGTAGCTCATTACAAATAATGTGGGTGGGCCTAACTAATTTTTTTTTGTATGCTATTCACTGGTCCTGGAGAAGTGGGTAAGAGACAGGGCTCTATCACTGCTATGCTGCCATGGATTGGCATCAGGAAAGGAACATTACAATAAGTATTTGATCCAATTTTCCGTTTTCCCCAGGCAAAGCATAGGAGGCAAGAGAGCTTTCAGAAGGTTCCCTCAAATATTTATACCATTCTTTACCTTGTATCAATGGCAATACACATCTCATTGGTTGGCCAGGGAGATACAAATATTTATAACTGAGACTATTACATTTTCTTACACTGTTGCTAGGGACATTCCCTGTCAGCAGGCAGGAGCAAATAGAGATGTGCACAATGGAAAAGTGTGCTTAAAGAGGAGTTCCACTCGCACTGTGAAAAAATAAAAGTCAGCAGCTACAAAAACTGTAGCTGCTGACTTTTAAAAAATAGCTACTCACCTGTCCCACAATCCCGCGGATGTCCTCCCCACAGCCCTTTTCACTAGCCGGCATCTTCAGTATGGGCACCCGGCTGTGACAGCTTGCAGCTTCACAGCTGGGTGCGGGTAGTGCTGCTCTTCCTGAATGGTCCTGTAGTCTTCTGGGACCTGTCACGTGTCCCAGACGACTACAGGGAGGGAGGGTAGGAGGACAACTTCCGCTTATGATTGCCTAGGCGATCTCAGCGGAAGTGATAGGGGGAACCTGCTCTCCTCCCCCCCTGCTCCCCAAAGGTGCCAATCCTTAATGGGGAGTGGGGGACCAGTCTTTAAGGCAGGACTTCCCCTTTTGGGTGGAGCTCCGCTTTAATGTCATTCTGGATTCATTTGTTAATTTTGCTTTGTCATATCCCCAATGTTAGAATGATTTGTTTTTGGAATTTGTTTCATGCATTTGTATTAGCTTCGTATAGTCATTATTTTCTAATTAATTTGAAATTCAAATTTCAGAAGATGACTATATTCTATTTTATTCTATTCTAAATTCAAATTTTGCAAGATGGCTATATTATTGCTATTTTATTCTATTCGAAGTTCAAAATTTGAATTTTGGAAGACCGGTATATTCTTCCAATATTATTCTATTCAAAATTCGAACTGCAAAATTTAAATATCTGAATATAGCTATATTCTATTCTAAATCAGAATATTTTTTCTATTTCATGGCATTCAAATTCTAATTTCGGAAGACTGCTATATTTTTTTTTTATTTTATTCTATTCTAAATTCAAATTTCAGAAACCAGATATATTTTGTTCTATTTTCTTTTATTCTATTCGAAATTCAGAAGATGGCAATATTCTTATTTTATTCTATTCTATTTGAAATTTGAATTTCAGAAGATGGCTATATTCTATTTTATTTTATTCTATTCAAAATTCTAATTTCGAAGATGATTCTTTCTATTCTATTTTGTATTTTCTATTGTATTCTTTTATATTCTATGCTATTCCTTTCTTTTCTATTATTTTCTAATCTTTTATATTCTATTCAACAAACAAAGCCTACTTCTGAGGCAGCTGGGTGACCGGTGAAACCGGTCATTATGACGTTATCTCTGGAGCCTTCCGTGGTGGTGACCCTCCAATGGCTACAATAACTTTGATAAGTATATGGCCACATTGATGCATGGACTATATGTCTCACTGCTCAAAGTGACTTTCCATGATTTAAGGGCTTATGCCTGACCTATATGGACTGTGTATTATCATGGATATTTGGAATGGAATTGATATGAAAGTAGATTTCCAGTTTCATTATTACAGTATATGTGCTTCCCAATACTAGGAGTATAGGTGAAGTGAAAGAGATTCAAACGGATCCTCCCCTGGATTGCACCCCTTACATGGGTGTGAGAGAGAGGTGAAGATATTATACAGCATACTACTAATATGTGCAACCTTTCCTTCTAAAAACCATGTCACCATAAGGAGCGCAAGAGGGAGGTGAAGATACTGTATAGTGGTGGGTAGTATATACAGGAGAGGGGTACAGAGTGCATGACAGTGGGTCGTGAGAGGAGTGTATGGCAGTGGGTAGTATATACAAGAGAGGGGTATAGAGTGCGTGGCAGTGGGTAGTATGTGCAGGGAGAGGAGTGAAGAGTACGGCAGTGTGTAGTATGTGCAGGAGATGAGTGAGGAGTGTATGGCGGTGGGTATTATATACAGGAGAGGGGAACGGAGTGCATGGCAATGGGTAGTATGTGCAGGAGAAGAGTGCATGGCGGTAGCTAGCATGTGCAGGGAGACTAGTGCGGAATGCATATATTACTGATATCTATACACTGAGTGCTATTCCCTATATATAACTCTGATCTCTGTACACTGAATGGCTCTTTTATGCATTGTTAATAGCACTCAGTCTATAGAGATCAGTGTTATATATAGGTTATAGCACCTAGT